TCGGGATTTCCTTCCTGACCCCCCAAAACAAGACCCTACCTAGGGCAGTTAAGACCCAACAACTAAGGTATCATTAACAAACACGGTTTTCACAACTTTTGCTAGATAAAGTAGGTCAAACCATGCAATTCCTGAAGTTACCCATAATGAACCAATAGGAGCCCCGTAATTAACCAATTATACCCCATCTTTTCCCACAACGACCGAAATACCAAATTGTCTTGAACCATCAGTAACCCTCAATTAACCCATACGTACCCGATCAAGAGCCATAATGGGTTTTCGGGTTCTGAGCATAAAGCTAAGGGCAGTTTCGAAACTCCGCCTTTTGGCCGAAAAGACCGACTTTGCACCATACCCTCGTTCCTTGTAAATTATTGGGTCCCTAGGTATGACTTTCCCGTGACACTGATAGGGTCCTTATTCTAGGAGATTAGATGAACTGCCACATTCCTTTTATCAGCCCGAGACATTGCCAAGTAACCCATCATATATTCCCAGTTTTCATTTGGTGTTTCGTTCGTTTGGACACTCTCTAGATTTTTAGGGCTAATTCTACAGATAGCCCCAAATCCTGAACCCTAAATAATCCTGGATCACATGCCTGAGAGATGCCCTTTCAACCCCAAAATCAATGGGATATTATCAGCAATGGAGAATCAAGTGGAAAATACGATGGAACACGACATGGGAACTACGATTTAGGGTTTAGGGATTAGGGAATGACACCACTGCCCCATCGGGGAAGCAACTGGAATATCGGGAGGTTCCATGTTTTCGAAACCTTGACCAAGATCATGTTGAGGTCTATCTTAGGTACCTCACACTTTGGTTTCGACGAGGGATCTAGGACCACAACATACCCTAAGCCCTAAACCTTCCCCAGAAGCCGCTTTGTGAACCCTTATCTGAACCTTTACATGGCTGGCAAGCACCGGAAGCTTGAGTGATCTCCCTAAATTCTGAATATTGCTCCCACTGAATTCCGCCGCCTCCACGTAACAAGCATCCTGATATAGAGTTATATTTTAGGGTTCCACATTACAATTCTAGTCCAACTCTTTCTGAGAGGGCTACCGACAATTTCAACTCCTACGACGCCCTACCTGAAACAATTCCCTCAGTACCATTAACTCCGACCTCTCTACTGCTGCTCGCGCGACTGCTAGTGTCGAAGCCCATGGGAAACTCCGACCATGGGCTATTAGACCCTAAAATTCCCTATTAGCACCTTATTAGGGGTAGATTAAGGTACCCTTAAGGTCTAATAGCCCATAGTGGTCCCTGCCCAAGAATCTTGATTCACAGAACTCCCCCAAGTCTGGAGGCGCGTCCTGAGATCTTCGCTGGCTACCCAAGCAGGCCTTGTGAATGTCATCATGTGGAGGGTTCCGGGCCGGGAAGGTGACTGAAGTTTAATTGCTGTCCCCCGGAAAATACTCTGAAACCATCATACTCAGCACCCAAGTCCACCCCCTCAATCTAGATCCCAAATCATGTGTCCTACCTACATTCGCAGGCCTAGGTTGAATGCAGGTTAAGCTGCTATATTGGGGAACACCCTTAATTACTATATATATATATGCCCATTATGGTAAGCTAGTTTAAGTTCCTCAACCGCAATTCAGGAAAGGCCCAATTGGTGGTTGGCAGAGTACGGGGTAGGGCTCAGGGTTTGGTGGCTTTCAGGATTTGAAGGGTTCAGTATTTGGGCTTTCAACAGAGGGTCCGCGAGTACCCGATGACTGGAGAGCTGGGATCTGGATAGCGCTGCTTGTTGGATTGGTTTCCATAAGCATCCAAGGACCCAAATAATAGGGTTTCAGCGCACAGAATCCCTTAATATTATAGTATTTGGGCCCTAAACCCTATTATTTGGGTCCTTGGACCCTCAGGGTTTTTTTTGGTGGAGACAAAAGCTTCTTAGAGGTATATGATGGTTATGCAAGTGGGCCCTGAGGGCAAAGAACTCGAACAGCCCAGTTCTAGCTCTACCGCAGCTAGCTGCCAGGTACAGCAGCTCCGCAATGCCTGAGGCCGGTGCACTTTTTGTGGTAGAAACTTCATGTGGTAGTTTCCCAAAATGAAGGGGACCCAATATAGACCCCAAAATACTATAGCCCTTATCATTGGGACCCTTAAACAGGTACACGTATTTTGGGAAACTCCCATGTGTCCCGAGTTCCAGTCAGGAGGATTCAGAGCTTTGTTCCACCTTAAGCCTCAAGCTCCTTCAACCCTATGAATAAGGTGGGCCCCGCAGCCTGTAATAGTGCATATATACCTAGACCCTCCTCCTACCCTCTATTAGGCCCTAAGTACCCACTATTAGAGACCATGTATCCCCAATTAAGGGTACCAGGAAGGTCCTGGTAAGGGACAATAGTAGCTATATCAGGCTCCTTGTATATTCCTAGTATAGCACTAGTACAGGTTGGGGGGCTACCTTGAACGTAGAGCAATTCCACTAAAGCGGCATCGTGGTCTCAGTTCCACGGCATATCACCCTATAAAACTCATTATAGGAGCTTCCATTTTCCTTTCCCCCCTATATAACGTGTATGACTGTTATCCTATCCTCTATGAATGATATATAAACCCTATATAACCCCTACAGGGATCGCAGGTCTTCTGCACATGTGCAGGTCCCCGTGGCTTTCAGAGGGGGATTTAGGGTTTAGGGGCCATGGTTGTAGGATGACCTCATCTGGTGAGAGCCCAAGTGGTGGTTTATGTAGCCCAAAGGGCCCGTGTAGCTATACAGTCTATACTTTGACCCTAAAGTATTTACGTGGGAACCCTCTGGGCCCTATGTGGCTGCATGGACCCTCTGGGTAGCATCAGCTGCTTGGACCGCACAAGTATGTAAATGAATCGCCCACAAAAGGAGTTAAGCAGGCTAATATTCTACATGAGCTACAGTCTAACCTCCTTAAACGGGGGGGAATTAGGGGATCACATAGGGGAGCATTATAGTATAGGGGATATTAAGGCAGATACTAAGAGCTTAGACTCTAGCTCACATACCTCTGGGGTTCTGGTATTTCAGGTTGTGTATGGAAAAGTTCTGGCTTGACGAGTACTAAGCCTAGCAGCTGCATGGGGATCACGTTTTGGGCATACCTTTGTGTGTCTCGCAGTTAACAGGGGTCATGGGTGTTCCTGCTTTTGGAAGCTTCTTTGCGCATCTGGAAGTTCTGGAGATGACAGACTCCTTTGCGAGGCCTTCAGTTTAGAGTTCAGATTTGAGCTGTTTTTGATAAGCTCCCCATGAACATAACATTGTGGTGCGTCAGCATGGCCCAGAAATGATTGATGGCGCAGGTTGAGGGTCAAGGTTTCTGAGTGTAGGGTTCGTAAATAGGGCTGGATGTTTAGAGCTTGGAGCTATGGGTGTTGGGCAGAAAGCTTGGGGTTAGTGCTGAGGATGTTTGAGTAACGCCCATAGAACCCCAAAGAGGCTCCTGCTAGTAGGGCAGTAGTCTTGTCGAGGCCAGTTTGCTGCAACATGGAGATGCTATGGCTTTGCCCTACACCCTAACTGGTTTCAAAATACGGGCGTGTATATCATTGAGGCCTTGGTTTGGGCCTGGGGCAATTAAAGGATTTTGCCCATTCGCCGTTCGAATTTCCCGAGTCTTGACACTCAGAACCCCAACCCGACGAAACTTTTGGCTCGGAACCAGCCTTTGCATTGCTCAACATACGTTGACAGCCACTGCCGCTCTGCTTGCTTCTTGCAGCATGTCCGGACAGTCAAAGGACTTCTGAACCACGTAGGGTCTAGGGTTCAGGGCTTTCCAGGTAGGGAGTCATATGACAAATTTAGGAATGTTGCAAACCGATTTTGTAGCAACGGTTCCTCAGTGCTGACAATACTGACCGCGAAGAAGGTCTCAATTTTTCAGCACGCGTCACGCGTGATTGTGCACTACGCTGTTCCCTAGTTTTTCCACTGACTGAGATCTTCTCTTGTCTTTCCTGTCTTGTGTGAAGATGTCATCCCCTTCAAGGCCCTACAGTCTAAATTCAGGGCCTGCAAGGGTGCGTAGAAGCCAGACTCTGTCTGGCTTGCTTCTCAAAAAAGCGCATTTCGGGGTCTACCGGGAGGAGTTGCAGGTAGGGGGGGGCGGCCCTAAACCCTGGATCCCAAGCCTCATGACGAACACCTTTGTATGTGACCTGACAGGAGGTCCGAGAAGCGGGGGAGGCAGATTTGGTCCTAAAATGCTGCTAGCTAAGCCTTGCTGAGAGGCCAGGTAGCCATACTCTGCTCTTCTGGCACTTTCCACATATAACCCTACTGTAGCCAAACAGTCGTCTACTTGGTGGGGCTGGAGAACTCAACCCACAAGTTACATTAAGGCATAGCTGGCGTCTATGAAAATCCTAGATTTCAGGCATGCGACTCGCGAAGATTCCATCTACTTTGGGAGGGCTTCAGCCATCTTAGCGGATTAGGGGGCTCAGACTTGGGCTATGAGCCCCGTGAGAACAAGGTAATGGCCTGGAACCTCCAAGTACCATAGGGCTTGGTGATTGGGATAGGGGCATTGGGTTTGGGGATTAGGGAAAGCATCTGGCGTCGAGTGTGAGCCCCTACACCAAGATATTCCGACCTGGGCGGTGCAGTGACGTATGACAACATTCCCGACAGAGCATTCGAATTTATGATATGGACGCCTAATCCTCGCACGTTAACCAAATTATTAAAACCGAAGCAAATGGACTTTCCTGAAGAATGTCCACATGGAATGCATATATAGTATGGGGATCTCCATAGCACCTTATTTATAGTCTCCACATATCCCTAAAGCGACGGTTTGAAAAAAGACCCTGCCCGGACCCAAAACCCTGGCGACTCAACCCATAATTATCTCCATACATCCTTAAGCAGGCCCCAAAAGCCCTCAACCCTAAACCCTTATAAACCCTAAACCTTAAACAGCCCCCCCAAAAGCCCTCTGAAGGCATGCTGAAGGCAATGCAAATCCTGCTAGGAGCTTGCCTACACCTTGGAGTACCCCTCAGAGAAGCTGAGCTTCCGCCACCACTTCTCATCGCTGCTGTTGACCCTTGGGAGACTTCAAACATGTAGGTGTTGGGGTTTTGGGATTTGGTGTTTAGGGCTTTCGCGGCCCCAGTACTTTCATACAACTTGTGTAAGACAACCCGTACTCTACGTGTATGTTTTGCTTTCTGTAGCTCAACTTGATTGACGTGCGTCGGCTCCAACAGGCTAAGTTGTTGGGCGCTCATCTCATTCTGATTGCCAACCTTTGCTCATATTTACGTGCTGCGTGTTCCATGGGTTTTGAAGGCCACTTCTCGCAACCCTATACCGCAAGCAAGGCCATGAAACATTGCGCCATGGCCATTACAAGTTTACGCTCACCGCTTCAATGGTCGAGGCAGTAAAGCTGATTGTAAGCCTGTCCTGGCCGTGCAAAACCTACAAGTTCTCGTATGAACTACCTAGACCCTCCCCCTACCCTCTATTAGGGCCTACGTACCCACTATTAGGGACCATGTATCCCCAATTAAGGGTACTAGGAAGGTCCTGGTAGCCAACTTCCTTGTACAGGGCACTTTGAGCCTTGAGTCGAACCTACGATTTTCAGGATGCCTCGGGATAGCCTTGCCAGGTGCCACTGAATAGTACTCAAATCTGCCGAGGACCGTACGCTAAGGGTCCAAGTAGCTAAATAGTAGGCAGTTTGGGCCTAAAGTACCTATAAAAATCCATGTGAGCCCAAGTTATCGATTATTTGAGTACTTGGAATTTTAGGGTTAGTTGAGCTTACCTGGGCCCTCTGAGGTAGAACCTTCGTAGGGGTCCCAATAAGAATCCAGGCGGTTTAGGGTTTAGGGGTTAACGATCTGCACTGGAAAGTTCCAGTAGGGTTGATTATTCAGTCATGCACCCGGCTTCTGTTATGCTACCCCGAGCCGCGCTTAACATGTTTGTGGTTTAGGGTCTAGACTGGGGTTTTGTTGGGTAACATGTTGCATTCGTATTGTGTACTTTGACGTAGTAGACATCAACAAATGTTGTTTGTTGGGAAAGCCTGAACATACCTGAACGCAGCTTGCTGTTTCCTATATGAACGCCTCCGTAGTACCTTAAACCTGTCCAGGTGTAGGACGCGTTGTCCTTTATAGGGGCACCCAAAACGGAACACCTAGTTTTGGGAAACTCCCAAAACCCTAAACCCTAAACCCTAATTGTTTTGTGAAATCCCCAATTGCTTGGAATGAGGAGTGGTGATTGGTCGTTGACCCTTCTGGAGCTTGGCCCCTGGGCCTTGCAAACTGTCCACTTGGCACGTGTGTTGCCTGGAACCCTACACCAGGACCCTCCTTGTACCCTTAATTGGGGATATATGGTCCCTAATAATGGGTACTTAGGCCCTAATAGAGGGTAGGAGGAGGGTCTAGGTACTTACATGCATATACTTAGGATGCGAGACTTCTTCCCTAATCAGTTACTGCATCTCTGCAAGATAGCGAGGCTGCCCGATGTGGAATCCACATTTTCAATTGTGACTCTTTGAGAAATATCACATTGAGTAGCGGAAATGCTCTGCTTGTTAGCTTCTCAGGTGTGGAGTAACATCTAAGCCTCAGGGTTCAAGTGCCTAATAAGCTCATACTTACTCAAAGCCTTTACTGCTTTGTCCACTCGAATCCTAAACATATGAATATCGTATACTCGGACCTTCTGCCAAGAATGTTCGCAACGCTGGCTGGACCCCATACCCTAAATAAGGGTTCAGGATTTCTAATGGGTTAAGTTACCCTCAGCCCCTGGGCATTAATGGCTTAGCGGTTGCAGTTCGTTAAGCTACGCTTGCAGCTGTAGTTCAGGGCTTAGGGTTCGCTGTGCATGGACAAAATCCTGCATGGCACGGACTGCAAACAAGAAGGGCACTTTTTAGTCTCTTGGGCGGGGGAGGGGGGGGCATGAAGGATTCTGTCCATCAACCCTTGTGAAGAGAATCTTTTGGAGCTGTTGGTTGGTTAGCGTCTGCTACTGGGTTGACTTGGGGAACCAAGATGAAGGAATGCAAGCACAAAACGACATTCACGTGTCATAAAACCAAGCGACGCTTAAGGTTGGAGCCTAAACCCTAAACCCTATGTGGAAGTGTCCCAAAATAAGCGGACCCCGATATAGACCCCAAGATATTATGATCTCTATTATGGGACACCCGGAAAGGTGGCCCTAATTTTGGCAAACCACCCACTTTACCCCAACTTTTGGGAAACCCCCCCGGGTTAAGTGTTCCAGGGCTCAAGGATTCGGATCAAGGGCTGGGTGCTTGAGGGACATCTGCTTCTGGACCCTGAACCCTAAACCCTGCATTCTAAACCTTGGACCTTAGACCACCCTGAACCCCAAACCCTGGACCTTCGACCCTAAACCCTAAACCCTGAGCCTTAAACCCTGGACCCCTGCCCCCATACCTTAAACTGTCTTGAAGGTAGTTTGGGGTCTCTGGTGGCTGCTGCTTGGCTTCTTCCCGGCGAGAAGGTCGGAGTCCCACAAAATGCTTAAGCCCTGCGGAGCAAGCGAGCATATATATTTACATATATATTTACATATATATATATATTTATTTATTTATTTATATACATATGTATATGTATATATTATATACATATATATATATGTACATATATATCTGTAATATATACATGTATATGAATGTATGTATACATATACACATATGTATTTATAGGGTTTAGGGTTACCGCTTAGAAAGCCCCAACGTGGGAACTCTCAGAAATCCTCTATAGTCCCCAAAGAACCATGCGTGGCCTTCGACTCTTGACCAAAAAAAGCATCCCTTCACACCCTAAGTAAGTATGTGTATATGTACAAGGACCTTCCTAGTACCCTTAATTGGGGGTATATGGTCCCTAATAGTGGGTACTTAGGCCCTGATAGAGGGTAGGAGGAGGGTCTATAGGTATGTATATATCTATATGTACGATACCGTGTGTGTCCTCATGTCTTTGTATGGCCGCCTTGCAATCCACTAAGGGTCCAAGGACTCAAACAATAGAGTTTTAGGCCCCAAGTACCATGAATGTTATACTATTTGGGCCCTGAAACCCTTTTATTTGCATCCTTGGACACTTAGGGATCCCTAGTACTCCGTTTTGAAGAATCCCCAGGTGAACGTTCCGGGCTCCTGGACTCTGAAAGAGCTGGCGGCCTTTCTTTGCACAAAGGCACCTGGAGCAGTTCAACGCAAAGAAGTTCAAGCTGGGTGTAGGGTTCAGTGTGGAGGGCTCAGGGTGTACGGGTTTTAGGGTTCAGGTTTTGAAGGTTTGGGGTTTAGGGCTTAGGGTTTAGGTTTTAGGGATTGGGTCTTAGGGGGGAGGGTTAGGAGGCGGGCCAACAACCATGTAGAGAGCAACCCACCCTATAACCAGGCAAATCTTGTCGTGTCCTGCAATTACCATCCCTAAACCCTAAACCCTAAACCCTAAACCGTGTGTCTCCTAATAGACCTACCTAGTGTCAATACCACGGCTGCCCAGCAAAGTGAAATTCCATAATATTCCTGAACATCCTGTTGGCGCAGGCAGCTCAACGCCGCAACCCCCCTTTTAGCAGTACCTGAGCCCCACAAGTATGCAGACAAATGGCCTTGAGACTCTTGTTTTTATATGCGTTTTGGTCCATTAATTTGCCTGGGTTTGGGGTCCAGGTGAATGAGACCGTGGGTTCCCATGAATAGTAGTCCCTGCATATACTTCAGCATAGTTGTCCTTATAACCCTATCCCGCCCTTTCTTACCAACTGGGCTGCTATTTAGGGACTTTTTTTTTTATCTAAGTTACTATAATGCAGAAACCTCGTTTTTCATTTACTATATACAAATATAGGGAAACCCTATCATTGTTTGCGCTATACCCATATTATGGTAATTTAGTTACCCAGCCAAGCATCGCGGAGTCTTTGTCAGGCCGCGGTGACCCGGCTCTACAACACCTACCTTGAGGCCATCTTCTTCACCTTCCCTCGCTTCCGTACTCAGCCTCCAAAAGAGCATGCACTCAAGGACATGACGTGTTGGGGAGTGGGATTAGGGATTACCGTAGGATTACGGACTTTGGGTTAAGGGCTTGGCTTATAAGGGTATACATAGGATCTGGCATTGAGGGGTGTTGTGTGTTTCGGGCATAGAGCTTTTTTGCTTGGATTTCGAAATTTCTGAAAGATGGGTACACTTATAGGCCTTACATGATGAATATCTTGCCTCATGAACCCTGCAAGTCCCTGTTTGTTACAAAACCCAAAGCCAGCCTTAGACGTTGAACAATGGAAGGATGCCACTTTCTTGGATATTATACAGTATTATATCATATTATGCTATGAAATATTATTGGGATAATGTAAAGGAAAATGGAAACTACAATATCATGGGGATTATATACAACCTTTTTTGCGGCCTCTTTTAAGCTGGTTACACTGTGTTTCTCTTGGTATATTGTAGCTGAAACCATGGGCCGGATGCGAGAAAAGGGGGATGGAGGAGATGGTGCGACCCAGAACCGGCCCAAGTACAGAAGAGTCAAGAAGACATACCCCAACTCTATGACTACAGTTGATGGAGGCGATCTAGACCACCTATACATTGTATCATTCCTTGAAAGCTCGAAACCCTAATCCCTAAACCATAACCCTCTGATTGGGCACTGGGTCCTGAGAAACGACTGAGCCCACTTCGGAGTTTTTAAGGGTGGGGAACTGCGGGCACCCTAGAAATATACACGCGCGGTTTAGGGTTTCGGGTTTGGGGGGTTACCTTTTAAAGGGAATATAGGGATCATGCAGGGTGTAGGGTTTCCCATTGACAGTTGTGAGTGGATGAAGGGATTATTTGGAGAAAGCACCAAGTCCCCAGGAGAAGAAGGATCTGTGCGGACGAGATATGGAGCAACTGCAGACGATCCTTTTTCACGACCGTCTGACTTTGCTGAGCCAGTTCGCGTTCAATGTTGGCCTCTACTATGCCATCCCTGGCTGCCTGTCTTGAAAAGCCACTAGAACTTGAACCCTGAACCCTAAATGGCAAAGCTGGGTTGCGGTCAATTTGCTAAGGCCTTTCTCTAGGGCTCCCAATGGCCCAATGTAAATATGATTTGAGATTTCACGATCCAATGCAATCCTCGCACCCTTACAATAAACAGCCCCGCACCTCATAACAACATGTATACCGTATACCCCATATATATATATATATGTGTGTATATACATATATACATACACATACATATGGTGGATGTATGTTGCAAGGTATTACTAATGGGAGTATACGTTCTTATATATCCTTCCATACCGTGCCTTATGCCTATATAATCCATTCATTTTAGGGAGCGAAGGCCACAGAAGTTGCAGGTAGCAGAGACGTTCACAAAGCGCCAGCAACTAATGCAGGAGCCTAAATTCTTTTTCCGAACATCATCGGGCTTAGGGTTTAGGGTTTAGAATCCCTGTGCATCACTTGGGGTCCCTGGGGGCCCCTACTCCCCAATTCTTGCCACTGTTGTGGTAACAGGCTTGTTAGATGATCATGTGCCAGAAGTACGCCTCGAAATCAGACTGGTAATCGTGTAGGGTTTAAGGTTTACGGTTTAGGTCCCCGCTGTACAGAATCCATAAAGAGCTCTATGCACCCCCAGCTTCCTTTTAATTTTTCTGTGTTCTTTACCGTTTCAGTTTCAACTAAAAACCTAAGCGCCAAAACCCTAGACCCCCAAGCCCCAAACCCTAAACATTAGACCCTGTATACTATGTACCCCCTGTAAATCCCGATAAAACCTTGGAAGTAACTTCAGATGCCCCGTTTGGGTTTAGGGTTTAAAGCTGTCCATAAGCCCAGCAACTAGGCTACTATCCGGCGGCGACGGATGTGGTGGCACCTCTCCACGAGCGAGCGCTCCGCTTGGTGGCTTCGTCAGTCTTGGGAGGGAGTGGAGGATGGTTCTGTCTTACTTGCAGAGTCATGGGGACTTACTAAGTAGGCCAATAATGGGGATCGTTGGGGTTGCTATATGGATTCTGGGGGTTATAAGTATACTTACTAAGTCCGCCTGACCCTCCAAGTAAGGTTTCAGCGTTTAGGGGACAAATGCAGGAATAATTTAGGGGATGTTCCAGGCACTGCGATAGGGATTGCATGCCCCCATTCCCAACTCAGAATGAGCAAGGTGGGCAACCACTACCTCATGTCCTTTGGCATGTACTGGATGCATCGAGCCCTGCATGTCGTGCCGTTCCTCTGGGACAGCTTGCTGAATTCAGGTAGGCTTTGCTTGTGCATTTCTTCAATGCTACCATCACTGCAATAGTAGTAACAATAGTAGCATATAAGCAAGTTCACAAACACATATACATATATGCACATGTGTGGCAGAAACTGTGCTGGACGAAATGGGGATGCAGCAACTAGGACAACATCCATTCCTACCACCACTGGGCCAAGCACCCGCTGTCCCGCAACACCTACGATGATCACTGGCTGGACAATTTCGGAAATGCTGTGGTGGGACATTTCTGTGCGCAGGCCTGATGCTTAGTGCTTGTTCCGGCGGATGTCAGAACTGTCTTGCCGAACTATTGTCGAGAGAGAAACTCTGTCTGACCCTTAGTGCTTGCTCTTTTTCAGTATAGATAACACCAACAGTAGCGATCTCTAGGCGTCGCATACAAAGTCAGTCCGCTGGGAACACGCAATCCAACACCTTTCCCCAGCCAGAGAGCGAAGCCCCTAGTTCTATGAGATTTTCCCACAACAACCCCCGATAGAATTCCTGAAAAGCAGGGCTCCATGACGCCTCTGCAATCCGTGCAATATAGGGCCTAAACAACAATTACCAATATCATTTTGAGGTATAGTTGAGACACCCTTCACTGTGACTATTCATATAGGACCATGATCCTAATGATGACTATATAGCAATACATGACCACGATCCTGGTACGTGTTTACGCTACTACAGTACATCCCTGGGGCTAGCGGGCTCAGCATTTTGACAATCCACCATGGAAAACAGCTGGTAGCTTCTCAAAATAGGGGGACCCCGGTATGGACTCCCAAAATACGAGAATCCATACTATGGGAAAGCCACAAGAAGGCATGCGCAGCTGCGCAGCTTGCAAAACTTTTGAGCCCAACGTCTCAAGTAAAACCAGTCGGTGGTGTGACCTGGCTTAAAGAAAACGGAAAGGTTTTGGAACAACCGACATGTCCGCATCATCAACACCTCAAAATGTATTAGCCGCTACCCATGAAGCCTAAATCCCTGATCCGGACGGAGGCCTTAATGCCCGAACCTTTCGAGGTTATACTGGGTTGCAGTTAAGGAACTTAGCTTAAGTTACCTTGTTGTTGGGGAAACCCCATTATTTACTATTATATATATATATGTATAATCACACCCATGTATGGTAAATTAGTTTAAGTTCCTTAACAGCAACCCAGTATAGAGTTGAGGGTTAAGGCTTTCGAGCCCCTAAAAGGAGAAGTCCAAGCTTCAAGCAGCAACGTAGGCACAAATTCATAAGCTGACTGTGACATGGAAGCCAAAGGGTGCATGTACCAGATAATTAAGTATTTGGGATTTGGGTAATTAGTAGTAATTTTGGTATAGGTGTGGGGTAAGTATATGATTATTGGGTACTTGGACCCTGAGGGGAAGCCGCACTTACATTACATAGTCGGGAAGACTCAAGTTAGAAGCCAGTGACATCCTAGGTAATTACAGACCAAACTCGTGGTTCGTAATATAGCTTCTAAGGCAATGCAAAGCGGCAGCCGAGGAATCTACATAAGCTGATGGGACCAGAGGAACCCTGAAGCCTAGAGATGGGTATTTCCCGTTTCCCAAAACAAGGGATCCCCTTGCCTTTTATAGCCCAGAGGGTCCATGTACC